GGGGGGGGGGGGGACTTCTCCCCCCAGAAAGTCCCTCCCACTGGGAGAGCTGATTCGGGACTGTACTGATTTGGGCGCCCACCGAAAAGCCAAGATGGCGGCCAACAATGCTGCCATTGAAGCCATGTTGCTTTGGAGGCGCTGGTGGTGGACGCCATTTTGACTTTTTTGCCCTGCTTTCCCTTTGATGGACCCCTGTGCTGCTGGCACTCTTCCGGGGAAGACGCTGTGCCCATTTTGATGGGCAAAATTTTATTTCCTCAATACAAGATTTTCTCTTTTTTTATTAATGTTTTTTAACTTTTGGACAAACATACACAAAGAAAACATAAAACCATCTTCCAGTTACGCACATACGTCGGTTGGTTACAAATTTTTTGTGCATCTTCTCCGTAGTCTTGCTTACAATTGTTTGTATAGATTCTCATATTATCCATCAGATATATATGTATACATTAATATCATTATTACTCATTTATTAGACTAAACTATTATTCCTTCATGTTATATTCAAAGTTATTCAAAGTTTTAAATGGATTTATAATATAACAATTCATATTATCATCCTAAATCCACCCAATAATAATACATCTTTATATGATATTCTGTATAATTCTGTTCTCCTTATATTGTGAAATTCTACATGTTTCATTAGCATATTTTATTTTCTAACCAATGATAAAATAAATCCCATATCTTATAAAATTGTTTTATCTTCTTGTTCTCTCGTTTCAAATGTCAGTTCACTCATTTCAGCACATTCCAATATCTTCTTAATGACTTCCTCTCCTAATGCAAGATTTTCTAAGTGGGGAGGGGGAATCAGAGGTTTTTTTGGGGGGAGGGGGCTGTATTACGCTTGGCTTTTCACGAGCAGATGATCTTCCTGGGGGCTTCATTCCAGATCCCTGGAGATCCTCTCCTACGTACCCCCCCTTCCCCAGATCCGCAAAGAAAGCAGAAAAACAGGACATCCGCCAGGAAAGGCTGCATTTTGCAAGGGGGGGGGGGCGGCAGCCCTGTTGGATTGCGGCTCCCTACAATACGTGCAGCAGCTGTTAAATCCGGAGGGGGGGAGGGCAGCCCTTCCGAGAACGGCAGCCGCAACACGTGGCCCCTTCCTCTGGAGCCCCCAACCCAGACAGCCTGGATAGGAGGCCCGCATTGCCAGGCGCCCAGCCTGTGTCATTTGGCAGGAGGTGGAGAGGTGGAAGGAGAAAGACGGACACCTGTCGGGGTGTCTTTCTTGAGTGACAACCCCTTTTCTAACAGGAGGGGGCAGCTGCCAGGGGGACAAAACCTCAGAGGAGACATCGGAAAATACTTACATCCATTTCCCCCCTCCTCCCGTCCTCTGGAATGGGGGGGTCTCCAACCTTGGCAACTTTAAGCCTGGCGGACTTCAATTCTCAGATTATTTAATTTATTATTGATTTATTTAATTATTAATTTGTTAATTATTCTGGGAGTTGAAGTCCGCCAGGCTTAAAGTTGCCAAGGTTTGGAGATGTGCTCTGGAACATCGTGCTCCCACCCCCCAGGTGAGATCTGCACCCATCTCCTTGGCTTTTGGCAAGGGCATGAAGACCTGTCTCTGCCAACTGGTTTGGGACCCCAATGGGGTTGGGGTGTTGGTGTTAACGGACTGAGATAAGACCCCCCCCACCTTGTCCCCTGTGCGTTGTTTACCCTTAAAATTTGTCAATTTTAAACCAGTTGTGTTTAGTAATCATCATCTACTTTTTATGACCCCATAAATCCCTGGAGGGGTGAAGACTGGGCAACTGAATGGAGCCGAGTGTTTACTGGCCGGATGCCCTTTCTTGTTGCCAATACGGAGTTTTGTTCGGCAGATATATTCCCATTGTGCCCGGAGGGAGAAATATCTGCCTCCTACCTAGGATCGAACTCACAGCCTCCTGATTGTGAGGCAAGAGCTCTGCCTCTAGGCCACCGCATCACTCTTGGGTTTAGTAATAGTAATACTGCTACCATTTATTATTTTAATGTTTTCTAGTGGTGATTTATTGATTGCCTTTAGGCAAGAGGGGCGGCATAGACATTTAATTAATGAATAAAATACAGGTAGTTTCTCGACTTACCACCACAACCGAGACCCAAATTTCTGTTGCTAAGCGAGACAGTCGTTCAGTGCGGGTTACCCCATTTGACAAGCTTTCTTGCCGCGGTTGCTAAGTGAAACATTGCAGTCATTAAATCATGAATACCGCTCTTAAACAAATCCGGCTTCCCTCACTGACTTGGTTTGTCAAAAAGGTCACAAAAAGGCGATATTGCGACCCTCATAATTATGAGCCAGTTGCCAAGCGTCCTAATTTTGGTCACGTGACCGTAGAGACTACTGCCGCAACAGACATGAGTGTGAAAAGACGGTCGTAAGTCACTTTTTTCCAGTGCCGTCCTAACTTCAAACGGCCACTAAACAGACAGTTCTTAAGTCAAGGACTATCTATAAAATAAAATTTGACATGAAAGTCCTGAAGACCCCAAGAGGAGATGTGGGGGGGTGGGGGAGGCTTTCTCCTGACATAAATGGATGCAAACTTGCCCGCTTGGGATTTGTTGTGGTTCGCCGGCAGCCGGTGCAGACGGCAGAGGAATCAGACAGTGGTGAAGAACGGGGACCAGTCTGGGGGGGACTCGGAGGAGGGTCCTGCATCCGATGCAGAGATGGGGCCAGGACCATCTGGGAGTGGGGTGCTGACTCTGGGGCCTCCGGAGTCTAGCAGCAGCAAGGCAGAGGAACAGAGGGAGCCTGTTCCCAGTGCGCGTGTGCACAGAGCTGCTAGAAGGCAAAAGCAGCTGAGACAAAAGGGGCGACTCAGGAGTAGGGCTGAGAGGTGATCGCCCCTCCCATAAGGGATAAAGGTCAGGCCAAGATGATGATACCTTTGCAGGAAGCAAAGGAATCGATGGAGCCAGACCGGAAAATCCAAAAGAAAACCAAACCCAACAACCACGTCTTGCAAGGCTGCTGCTCTCGGTCCCTACTCTGGGTTTGTGTGATGACCCAAAGGGGCGTGGCACAAAGGCAACACAATCAGATAAACTGTAGGAGTCCCTTTATTAGCTCCATCTTTGCCCCCAATGTCCTGGTTACCATCTGGTCTGGAGAAAAACTCTCCCAGGAACACCCTTGGGCTGCAGAGAATCAAGTCTAAAACATGGTCAACAAAAACTGTAACTATAAATCCAATCAAGGCAAGATGAAGTAATTAGTCTAGCAGAAATTCCAGATGTGAAGGCACGGCAATAACTTAACATGATGCCAGGAAGATGCCAGGAATGCAGATAACCGAAGTGAACACAAGATAAACTCACGTTTTGTCCCAGCGTACGCCGCACTCTGCATGCATCTCTTTTAAACTCTCATTCTCAGGTGTGGTTAATGAAGGGAATCAGGGCCCTTTCCTTCCCCGTAAGCCACACAACGTACGTTGCTCTTTTCTCCGTTCCTCCCTGCGTGCCCTAGGATGAAGAGGGGATGGGCCTGGGTCTTCCTCTGACCTCCCTCTCCCTTGTTCTACCTCTTCCCTGCTCTGCCCAGCCGGACTTTGCCCTTCCCCAGTTTCCTCCACAGCCAACAGAGCCGCTTCATCAGCTGTTTGTCTTTCTCCTCGGATTCAGACTCTGGATTCAGACTCCGACAGGGGCATTGTGGTTTGTGTCCCTGGAGTCGCTTTTCAGCTCCAGTGCAGAAACACAAAAGCTTTCTCAACAACACTCCTTCCCCACACCCCTCCCTGAGCCACCAAGCCAGTCCTGGCTGCCGGATCACATTCCCTTTTCATAACATGTCTCTGGGCACAGAAAGAGCCCCCGCTGAAGAGTGCCCTCGGGTGCGTTTTTGTGCTTTTTGTGCAGGTATTCAAAGGTAATCCCTGAGATTTTTTTGGGGGGGTGGAGTGGAGGCTGGAGGTCCATGTGGGAGATGAGAGGTCAGCCATCATTGGGCGCCAATGGGAGAAGGCATTATGCCAAGCCGTGGAAGAACAGATCACAGGAATGTCTGGAGTCCGGGAAGACGTGGGACCTCGGGAAAGCAAAGTCCAATTTATGGCGAATAGTTTAACCAGCGGCGCAAATGTTTAGCCTTGTCCCAAATGCCGTTCTTAGCAGGAACACGTTGAATTTCAACCAACAGACAACAGGTCCAAATTCTGGCTCCTGTCATTCACTCTCTGGAGATCCAATTTCCTTGTCTTTCCAATTTGTCTCTGCCAAGATTTTTGTCAGGACAAAGCTGGTAAACCGAGTGTGTTGCTCTTGGAATCAAAGGGAACAAGGGTGACCTAGATGATTGTTAAAACTTGTGAAAACCCATTTGAGGTTCTGACAGCCAGCAGGAAACCTTCTTCTGAAGATGTTCCCATGATTAGAGAGGTCCATTTGGGCTCCAATCAGCGTCGCACTTCAACCCCCGCCCAGAAAGTCCAAAAGTGGACAAGGTAGTTTTTTTTTTAAAAAAAATGTTAAAATAAAGCACCACAAATAGAATTAGAATCCAGCACTGCAGACAGGTTCTGCACAGCCGGAGTTGTGATTGGATGAGCTTTCTGAATTCCGTGGGTCAGCGGCTGCAACTCAGGTGTGCTTTCTTTCCGGTTGTGGCTTTACGGCTGGTTGTTTTCTCATCGCACTGAAACACAAACAGCTGTGAGTTGGATGGGCCCCTCCAGCCGCAGATTGTTCACACCCCCTCTGAAAATAAGCTAGTGGCCTTTGAATCTCCAGACCATCAAAAACCCCAAGTCGCTCCAACAGTTTGGGTCTGTGATTGCTATGCGCTCGACACGGAGAGAAAACCCCAGATCACAATCTGGTTTATGGGGAGGCACAGGAAGTGCGAACCCAAAGATCATAGGCCCCACAAAAAACACAATTCCCACAGTGATGTAATCCTTGGCTTTCGATCCACTTGTTTAGTGGCCGTTCGAGGTTAAAACGGCATTGAAAAAAGTGACTTATGACCATTTTTCACACTTAACGACCGTTCAGGCGTTCCCCATGGTCGCATGATCGAGCAAAGTCAATGGGGAAGCCAGATTCACTTCACAACAATGTTATTAACTGAATAATTGCAGTGATTCGATTAACAACTATGGCAAGGATGGCCGTAAGATAAAGCAAAATTGACTTAACAGCTGTCTTGCTTAGCAAGAAGGTTCAATTGTGGTTGTAAGTCAAGGATTATCTGGATGTCTAATACATATTGCACAATTGTGCCTATGTGGTCCCTTCCATCTGCAGGGACAGCTATGCTGACCAAGGACTTGCAGGATAAACCATCATATATATATCTGAATGGCTTGACCCTGGCTTGTTGGTCTTCAAGGAACCATGGTTTGAAATGGTTTAGAAATGTTTAAATCGGAGCTTATAAGAGAAACAACAGGCATAATACTCTCTTAAAACTTCTTTAGGAACCCAGAAACTCTTCAGCTGAAGCAGGGAATGGCAAACTTGCCAGCCAAATTTTAGCCTAGTAGGCTGAACATAACTAATTTGTAACCCTTATGATTCACTGGATCGGCTAAACATAATCAGTATCGAGTAATATACGTATTATGCAGCTTATCAAAGTTAATCGTTAATAGAGACAGGAAAAAAATGCTTTTTATCAATAGTCGCATGATAGGAAAAGTTTATTGGATGGAAATTTTAGCGAACTAATCTAGAGTTAGGTGAATTTCATTGTACGCATGTTGTACATTGATAATAAAGGTTTGATTTAAATTGTATCTGTGTTTAACTGTTTACATTTATTTATTTATTTAATTTCCCCTTCCAAGTTATGATTCATGAATAGTTCTGGAAACGGGTTCTTTGCTTTATTTTTATTTTAAAATCTCATTTAATCATCAACAGATGAGTGAAAGCAGCCAAGAACAAAAGAAAGGGTGGTAAATAAAGCTTTACAGAATTCCGAAATAAAAAGGGCTGATCCTTTGAAAAAGGGAGAGAATTATGATGGACTGTTAAACTAAGCCCATCTCAACAGGGCAACCGATTAATTCTTCAGTAAGGAAAATAAGGTTGAACCATTTGAGAGGGTCTTAATGCCAGCAACATTGCGAGTGCCATCTTCTCCAATCTAGTGGTCTTCCAAATGCTTCGGACAACTCCCATCCTCCTAAAGAGGCCCATGAGCAGAAAAACGGGTAGGAATTATGGCACCCCCTTGAAAATGAAAAAAAACGAAAAGGAATTTGGTTTACCCATACCACAGGTTTCAAACTGGTGCAGTGGCCTTCACTCTCAATCCTGGGAATTATATTTTGATGAAAGGAGGGTTAGAAGACATCTGAAAAGGCAAGCTGTAGCTCTGAAGACCTTGTGGGAAAAGCTTCTTGGAATGAAAGCCCTAGATATTTGGGGAGGAGGAGATGAGGCCAAGGAGAACTGGATATGGCCTTTTCGCATCCAGGAAAGACTACTTTCTCACCGACTCAATCTAGCCCAAAACCAGGTCATCCTACCTAGAAGGGTGTTTTAGGGATCTGAGGTCTTTCCTGGACTTCCTTCTTTCCTTTCAGGTGGTCCTTGCCAGGTGACTTCCACCTCGTTGACTTTGGCCTTCAGTGCCTTCCCCGTCCGCCGGACCTCAATGCTCAGGATGCCATCATGGGTCACGGTAGCTTTGACCGAGAAAGGATCGACATCCAAGGGGAGGATGTAGGTCCGGGTGAATTCACGGGAGATGAATCCATGTCGGTCGACCTTCTGAGGATGCTGGGCTGTCACCTCCAGGAGGTTGTCCACAGTGCGGACGGCGATTTCATCGGGGGTGAACTGACAGACGTCAAGGAAAACCTGGAATTTGTGTTCATTGAGGGTGACCTCTGAAATCCCACGTTCCAGCTGTTTGTTAATCCTGGGCCTGATATAGTAACCGTGGTACAAGGTTGGAGCCAGAATGTCTCCAGGGGAAAGGCCTAGAAGAAACAAAGAGTCGTGGCTTAACATAAATGATGGTTTATAAGGGGATCTTGGTGCTCTCTGAGCTCAGTTGTTTCCTTGCAGACATTTCACGACCCAGCTAGGGAACATTATCAGTGTAGTGCATGGTGCTTGGATCATGAAACATCTGCAAGAAAAGAAAAAAAACAAGCTCAGTGCACCAAGGACCCCTCATTTCAGACCTGAGCTACAGATATTCTATGGGTTATAGTTTGTTTATTACTTTATGGCTGAAAAAGCAGTGGGGGATGAGAGAAAGCAATTTTGAGCAGGGGGAGGAACCCGTGAGAGAAATCAAAGGATTTTAATTTCTGAAGGTTACAAGGAGCGGTATGAAAGCGGTATGAAAGAAGACGGGGTCAACTAATTTTCCAAAGCGCCCGAAGGCAGAACAAGAAGCCATGGATGGAAATTAAACAAGGAGAGAAGCAACCTGGAATTAAGGAGAAACTTCTTCCCCAAGTGGGCTCCATCCCGGATACGCCGGGAGGTCCTGGCACGGTTAGCTGGGGCACAAAAGACACCCCCACCCCCCCTGCTTGTGCAAGACAGTTGTTCCACCGGTTCACGCGAAGAGCTCCATCCCCTGCAGGCTGCCCGATGGGGCTGGGAGCAGGGGGTGTCTGGCGGATCTGATGGCTGCCTCTGCATTCCTTCCAGGGGCGTTTCAGCCTCGCGTGCCAGCTGGGCTTCGGGGCGCTTAAGTGGGCTTCCCAAAGTCGCCTGCCAGCAGCAGCAGCAGCAGCAGCAGCGTTTTTGGTTTTCTCTCCAAAAGCTCCATCTTCGTGCCAGCCGACTGCATTCCACCAGCTCAATTCGTGCCAGGGAAGGGGAGGGACAAGGCAGGGAGGGGAGAACCGGGCAAAAACATCTCCTTGTCTACAGCCAGATGGAGATTATTATTAGCTTCTCACCAAGGAGAAATCTAAATCTTTGCAAACAGATCTTCGTCACCCTCGTGCTCTCAGAATACTTATTTTCCTTCGTCCTTTATTTACTTTGGGTCTTTTATTTACTTCGTTCCTCTTTCGATCGCATTTTTACTCTATCGTGAGCTGGCCGGAGTTGGGCAGCAGCTAAAATCAAGTAATGAAAAGCAAATCTCTCTATCATTAAAGAACGTTGCCACAAGCATCCAAATTAACCACCGAAAGGCAGGCTGGCAAGCAACCTTCCCGGCCCCTCAGGAATTCGACGAGAGAACCAAAAGCGGCGAGTTCTCTCCTTCCTGTAGAAGTGGAAGAGAAAGGACCAGCTGTTGGAAAGATTTTCATTTGGGTCTGTCTGCCTTGAGCGGCGGGGAGGGGTTGGGCTCAATGGCCTCAAGGGAACCCTTCCAACTTTCAAAGAATCAAGGCAAAGCCAAGCTCTTTCCCTTGGAAAAACTCTTCCGTCTTTGCGAAGCTTTGGGACGAGAGACGCAGGGAGGATAAGCTTCCCTATCCGATGAGTCTGTGAAACACAACCGGCAGCGTGATAAAAAAAAAAAAAAACCACAAACTTTACAGCAAAGAAGGAATTTCTAAGTGTGTCCTAATCACCTACGAAACAGAGTTACTGATGGACAACTGGCCCACCTTACAAGGCTGGGATCTCCAGAATGAAGCATTGCCTCCCTGCCAAATTTGTCCCTCTACACACACACACAGACACACACACACACACAGCACTGACCGTGGTAGGATGCCCTGCAGGGCTTCCTCCAAAAAAATAAACCCAAACTGATCCAGAACTTTCCCAAACTTTCCAAACATAGGATCGCCCATAAGTCGATAAGAGTGGTTGCTGAGCCCAATATCACCTCCCGCTTTTCGTCTACATAGCCACACAACCAAGGCCTGGGAAAGATCCAACTCCCGCCATACGAGGCTCGTGATGCACTTTTTAGCACACTGGAATGGGGAGCGGGAGAAATGCACCCCAGGTTAACTATTCCGGGAAGGTCCCTCCATCCCAGAGCGGGAAACACCTGGAACCTGCAACCTGGAAGGTTGAGAGAGGGTGTCCCTGCCCAACTCACCTTCTCCAAAATTCTGGTCATAGATTTTGCTGGGGTTAGCAAACTCGCATTCCGGGCTCATGGGGTAGGCGTGGGGCAGGCTGTGTTGCTGAGCCATAGTGAGAAAACTGCCGTGAATGTCCTCGCTCTCCAACGCCTTCCTTCGGAAGCTTGCAGCTGGCCAGCTGGACCCTTGGATCAAGCAAATTCCACTGGGGTGGGGAGAGGAAGCGATAAAAAGATGGACCGAAATAGACAGGCGGGGTCGTGCCGTGCTGAGCCCCCAGGGAGGGCCGGATGCTCGTGGCTCTGCAAAAAAAAAAAACCCTCCTTCCCCAAGGAGAACACCGACTGGGGGTGAGCGATGCCCCTGACGTTGTGGGTCGGGTGGCTTCTAGCCTCTTGGACCAGCAGCGTCTTGGGGGAAACGGGGTGATCACATGTGACTCCTGGATTTCAAACCAGACAGCAGCTGCCTTGAGATGCTGCCTGGCTGGTCTCATTAGGGTTGTTGCTGCCACCATCCAGGTTAAGGGCAGGGGGTGGAATTCTACCGGTTCGGACCGGTTCTATAGAACCGGTTGCTACAATTCTGCGCAGTTCAGTGAACCCGCAAATCGTGTCCCTGGCTGACCCTGCCCCTCTCTGCCGGCTCCTCCCCTCCCCGCCTAGTCAGTCCTTATCGCGCATGCACGACATCGCTGACGGCATTCTCCCCCGCCCAGTCGCTCCTTGAGGTATTTCTTTTTCCTCCTGACAATCGGCTGTGCCAGGATCCCCCTCGCTGTCTTACTGCTTCGCCCAGGTGGCTTCCCTGATGCCCGGGAGGCAAAAAGGAGCGTGCACGGGGTGTGCGTGTGCTGCGCTCTGTTTTTTGCTCCCGAGGAGGCTTGCCTGAAGTCCAGGAGGCCAAAAAAATGGAGCGTGGGGGAGGGGGTTTATGCTGCAAAAAATAAAAAGGCACACCCACCCAGTCAGGTGGCCACGACCACCTAGCCATGCCCACAGAACCGGTAGTCAAAATATTTGCATCCCACCCCTGGTTAAGGGGATGAAGCTTAATTAGGGAGCTCTTCCCACGCAGAAGTGTGCAAAAATCCCTGGGTACTTTCACACCCAACTTGAGGTGAGGGACAGACAATCCCGCACAGGCTGGGCTGTTTCCTTCCTTGGCATCATGCAGTCCGTTGATCAAACGGCTTTAGGGTTTCTCGAACGCGCTAGACCTGACCTCCCAAATGCGCGCAACGGCGGGTTTCCCACGTGCTTCATGCACCACCACCTGTAGCCCTGCAGAGAGACTGAGCTGGGTTTGGCCATCGCCCGAAGCCCTGGCTCGCTTCACCGCCATTGGCCGAAGACACCATGGAACAAAGAAATTAAAAAACCCAACCCAACCCATGGCGGCTTTGTGCAAAGCCACAACGATGGCCTCACAAGGGAATTGTGTTCTGGCACAGCAGCCGAGGCCTCTCCACTCGAAACAAGCTTACTATCCGTGCAAATACATAAAATATAGAAGAGCTAAAAGAGAATGGAAGAAAAGGAAGAGGCGGCAGAAAGCCTTCCAGATTTGACAAGCAATGTTGCGGTGTGTGTGTGTGTTTGTAGAGATAGCACTATAAACCAAGGAATGTGTAATGTATAGATTTAAATCTATACTAACGACAGCTTAGTCATATTATCTATCCGTATGTGGAACCTATTTAATACCAGTGTTTAAACTCTGTGGATTTTAACCGATGCTGGTGCCCAGAAACCAGAAACTCCTTGCACATCTTTTGGGGTAACAGATGCCCCTTGTTTACACACAGTGAAATTGGAGACTGGAGCCTATCTGTCTACTTTGCCGCTGCTTCTGCTCCGCTGCCTCTGCCCTAGAGACCAGGCATTCGGCTGGCTTCGGTGGCATCTGATCACGGCTGTCACGGAAAAGCTCCAGAGATCCTGGACGTATGGCACATGGAACAACACACTAACCGTATCTCAGTCTTGGGTACAGCGCACATCCACTACTTATGACTGGTAGGTGGTTGTGTTGTGCGCTACCCTTATACCATTAGTTTGTTGCTGATTAGGAATTAGTGTGTGGCATGAATGCGATCGATGAGGTTTTTCCTCCCACTTGAATTCTGCTGCAGTCGGAGGAGAAGGAATTGACGTCACAAGCAAGCGAAAGCTACATTTACCGGTAATGAGATGGGCAGTAATAGCAGAATTTTACAAGCCTGACGGGGCTCCACCGTTCCCTCCTCTTCCTCCTCCTTATATGTCACTGAATCAGAGAAATGTCTATCTGATTCACTTCCAGATGTTCTATATTTCAGCATTTCAAATATTTCAAAAATATTCCCTTTTTTTGTCAAGATTCCCACGTCTTGGTGCCTACCGTCCCTGTCCTATTGTCCCCATTTCTTCGTACCTATTTCCTGTATTCTTACTCATGTTTATACTTATACCTATTGCTTGTAAGCAATTGACAAATAAATAAAAATAAATCTTCCTTACAGGCTGCAAACCTTCACTGCTCCCACCCAACTACGGACAGCCAGTGACTGCATCTGGAAACTTTATTACCTGTCCAGGAATAATCTTAGGGTTTTATTGCCATAACAGTTTTCAATAATACACCATAGCTTTCTTTATTTCAAAGGGCTCCTGAAAAGTAAATTCGGAACTTATCCTGCATAAAGTTTTGGAAACTTCTTGGTTTTGGTTTTGGTTTTCAAATGTTCAGAGTGCTAACCAAATGGTGCTAAATGTCCACTCCACCCTTTCACAGTTTCACAACATTGTGTTTATTGGCCTCACCGTTGCATATAAATAGGCCCATTTATTGCTGAGACTGGATGCAGGCCTACTCAGATGTTCTTTGTCGAATGAAACAACACCAGGACAGGAATCGACTAGGATGGCGAATAAAAGACCAAAGGAGTATTTTGGCACACAAGAATGTTACTGGAGAGCATGATGGATGACTCTTGGCTATGGATGTGTCCCATTGGAGAATATACATCCAGGGGATGGGGGGAAGACCAGGGTCAAGGGGGAAATGAATGATGTATTTTAGTGTCAGCTGCATCAAGTTAACACCAACATGGCCACTCCTAATAAATCAATTTTTTTTTTATTCTGAGAGATGCGACTACAGACTTATGATTTGAACGGTGGTGGATTTGTTGCGAGTCCTGACATAGGGAACAGGTCATATTTCCAAGTAACCATGGACAGGTCCTCTATTCAGATGCCCATCGCTTTCTTTGTGATCCCAGGATCTTATTTCCAAGAACTACTAATTACTCTGGGAGCTGCAGAGTGGAGCCCATTGCTCTGAGTCCGCCAGCATCTGACGACAAAGGAAGCCGTATTTAATTCAGCCTCTTCTCAGCGCCTGGCATCAAGGTGTTCTTGCGATGCGGGGTAATTCAGACTCAGCAAGGATGAATCCAGATCCGGCAAGGAGGAACTCTCGGCTCTCGGGGGTAAAAGGCGTGGCAGCGCTTACACCCCCACGTAGTTGGGGGTGAAGAAAGAGGAAACGAAGGCGAGACGTGGGAAACTGGTCCAACCACATTCATGGCATACTCAGTGGGAGGTGCCGTCATGACTGGCAGGAGCCTGACGTAGGAGCTGAGCACAGAGGTTTAAATTTAACCCAGTGGGAAAAATGATTCGTCTCTTCTATCTCACCGTCCTATTAAAAACAACAACAACAACATTTGGCTCAGGGGTGAGGTAGAGGAAACAACCTCTCCACGGTCCCCAAGGCCGAAACAAATGACCCAGGCTGTGTCCGAAGCCTTCTGGTGAAGCCAGGGGTCTGCAAGAGGAAGAGGGCGGAATGAGGAAGGAAGAAAGGAAGAGAGAAGAAGAAAGGCAGTCAGAGAAGAAGGGAGAAAAGGAGAGGAAGGAAGGGAAAATTGAAGGAAGAAAGGGAAGGGAAGGGAAGGGAAGGGAAGGGAAGGAGAGAGAAAAAGGAAAGGAAGGAAGGGAAGAAGGAAAGGGAAGGAAGAGAAGGAAGGAAAGGAAAATGGAGGAAGGGAGGAAGAAAGGAAGGGAAGGGAAGGAAGGAAGGGAAATAGAAGGAAATGAAGGAAGGAAGGGAAGGAAGGGAAGAGAGGAAGGGAAGAAAGGAAAGGAAGGGAAGTGAAGGAAGTAAGGAAAGAAAAGGAAAGGAAGGAAGGAAATAGTTTTGGATCCATTGAACCCAACGTCTAACTACCACCCAAAGTCTTTGCAACATCCCAAGACCGCTTGATTGTTTACCCTTTTGCTGCGACATTCACAACAGATGTTAAATATTTGGAGGGTGACCCTTCCTTTCCTTTCTCTTCCCCCTTTCCCTTACCTTCTCTAACCCCAGGGCCATCATCCTCACGTGTTACGGGGGTGACCTCATCTGCCACCCTCGGCAGCTCTTCCTTTCCTCGGGCCAAGATGACTCAACTCCCCCCGGGGAGGGTGTGAGGTCCCGAGTCTCTTCCCCTGGCCATTCAGCCCGGGAGGAGAAGGAGGCTGTTGTGGGCCAGATGACCGAATGCCAGCCTGGTGCCAGCTCCCCTGCACTCTTTCCGAGACAAAGATAGTCAAGGCAGGATTCGTGCCAGTGACCAAAGGAGCAGGAATGCGGATCACGCTGGCTGAGCCTTTCTTTTTTCTTGTCTTGTCCAGAGACAGGACGGGTGGGGGGTGGGGTGGGAAGAGAAGCCGTTTCTGCTGACCAGCTAGAATTTCACTGTGTTCTTTTCCGTCCGCCATGCAGGCACTGAGACGCCTCTGCCAGCCCCTCAGCCAATGGCCGGCCGACGCAAGCCGAAGAGCAGGATCAGGCCTCTCTGACCTCATGGCTTGGAGGGATTTAGCCAGCAGTGCCTGGCACCGGGCAAGCATATAAAGCCAGGCGCTTGGCTCGCCCGTCTGCACTGCCACCGGGGGACCCCGCTTTCTTGGGGGGGACGGGAGAGAGATGGACGTCACCATCCACCACCCCTTCTTCCGCAGACGGCTCTTCCCCGGCCCCTCGCCCAGCCCCGTCTTCAGCCAGCATTTCGGGGAGCCCTTCGTGGAGTCCGAACTCTTCGCAGGCGGCTGGCCCCTGGGCTCCTTCCTGGGGAGGCCCTTCGCCTTCCGGAACGCCGGGTGGATAGACAACGGACTGCCCAAGGTAACCCTCCCCCTCGCGCTGATGCCAGGGTGCCCACGGAGGTCACCTGCTGACCGCTTATGCATTTATTGCATGAAGAAAATTTATACGGCGGCCCCAACTCACTCAGGTTGACTCCAGGAGCTTACAAGACCTCCAGACGAAACCCAATAAACTCTCCACCCCACACATACCCACACGCACACACACACACACACAGAGTGACAACGATCAGACCAGCCACTTGAGGGGCTCCATGCCACCCCCAGCTCCCTAGGCGTGATGGCAAAACCACATCTGCAGGGCCTCTTTGAGTGCCAAAGCGAAGCCAAATATATTTCTGCAAGGATGACAATGATGACGCTTCCACAGGGAAGGAGCCACCACAGAGAAGGCCCTTCTTCTTGGTCCCACCAGATGGACCTCCTTAAAGAGACCATCTCTTGCCTCCCCCGTTCCTTATGGGTCAATGGACGTAACTGGGAAGAGATGGTCCTTCAGCTAGTCTGGTCCCAAGCCACGTAGGTTGCTCTCTTGGCTGCGGTGAGGTTTGCCTGCAGTTAGACTGAGGGTGTGGGGGCTCCATGGCGAAAGCCTCTTAATTTGGGGTGTCTCTGTTAGTTTCTGTGGAGACAGGCTCACCCACAATTTCCACCATCCCAGCTGGCCATGACCAGGAGGCAGTAATTCTTCTGTTGTACTGAGGAGTCACTTCTTTGTGTAATGAACATGGTTTCTGTCTCTTCTGTTCAGAGGCAGGCAGGTGCATCGCTCCCTTCCATGCCACCAGCTAAAACAGCTGGGTATTTTCCACTCCAAAGACAAGCCATACCTTGCTTGCAATCTTAGGTTGGGTTAATGTTTTGACTGGTTTATTTTTATAGCTTCCTTGTGGTTTTATAGGTCTTTTAATCTGGGCTTGGGAGCCGCCCAGGGTTGTTTGTCAGATGGGCGGCTATGTAGATGTTTTAAATGAATAAACAAGTAAACTGGACCTCATAAAGGAAAAATCAAAAAGTGGGGATGATAAAAACAAGAATCTTCAAAGATGTGGAAAGTTGGAATGCAATTGGTCATTGGAGAAATCACAGAAATAAGGGTTATCTGGGGTTTTCTGGATTTGGACTAAGTTTGTTAAGTAACCAAAGATGCGGGCGGGGTTCACACATCATGCAAAACCACAAAAAAAAAAGTGAGCTAAAGATGAAGCAAGCCAAGTTTCTGATGTCATGAGAATGTACCCGCTCCTTTTGCACTGATCTGATTAAACGTATTTGCAAAACCAACCCAACGCAGCAAATTCCACAAGATGCAAAATTTTGCAAAACTGACAACGGGCCTAAAGACCCATTATCTTTTATGTTGTACATGTTTTGATGGTAACTTGGGGGGTCAAAGTTTGCAACGAGGTGTCCAACAGGACACCGAAGTGTTTGGTGCCTGGGATTTCCTGGCTTCCTGATAACTACGAAACCTTCTTTCCTGACCCCGAACTGTTTGGCCAATCAGATGCATCTGGACGACGACAAGTTTTCCGTCAGCCTGGACGTGAAGCATTTCTCTCCTGAGGAGCTGAAGGTCAAAGTGTGGGGAGATGTGATTGAAGTCCAGGGAAAGCACCAGGAACGCCAGGTGGGTCTCTCTGGGGATGGGCCCGTTTGGTGCAGCGACAGGAGGGGGGGAAATGGATTAAGTTTACACGTCGCTCACCTCACCCTCCGAAGCGACTCCGGAGAGGTCGCCCAGCCACAATAGCTGCATCTGGAGGGATCCCCAAACGATGCCTACAGCAGGGCACGGAGGGAGGCCAAATTAACGGCCTTATTCGTTCGTTTCAAACCAGCCAGAGGCGAGGTTAATCGCGAGATCAGTACTTGCCCAGGCTGTTTCGGGGTGGCTTGTCCTCAGGGAGAGGATGGCTCTTCATCTGGTACCCAGGAACCTAAACTGGAAAGTGTTTATGGAGATTCTCCAGGTTGTCCCAAAGGTGCTTTTTTTACCCAAGAGACAAGTGGACTTTCTGGTTCTTCTTTGAAGACCTTTCGCTTCTCATCCAAGAAGCTTCTTCAGATCTGGCTGGATGGTGAGGAAGGGAAATCACAGGAAACCAAAGAAAAACCAGAAAGTCCAATTGCCTCTTTGGATATAAATTGGAAGGCTGAACAGAGAAGTTTTCCGCTGCAAGATGCGGCTTAGTTTATCTATTTATTCATTAGATTTATATCCTGCCTTTATTACTCTAGAAGTACTTCAGAGCAATGAACATACTTAACACTCCTTCCTATTTTCCCCCATAACAACCATCCTGTGAGGTGGGTTGGGCTGAGAGGAGGAGGAGGGACTGGCCCAAGGTCACCCATCTGGCTTTCATGCCTAACACAGGACTAGAACTCACCGTCTCCTGATGATCTGCCCAAAGTCACCCAGCCAGTTTTCCTGTCCTTAAGGTGGGACTAGAA